TGTTTCATTACCCGGCTAGGTAATGCTCTGAAGTGGTTACGTAGCCGGGTAATGAAACATTTGCAAGAAAACAACCAAGCTCAGAGAACCCCAAGGACTCCACAGTTCAACCCTGAGCTACACATATTCGCTTCTATTAGAAAAATGTCTGTCCTACCTCTGATTACCTGAACTTACCAGGCATCTTAATATACAGATTAGCACTTTATAAAAATAAAAGGGGGGCAGGAGGAGGCTGCAAGCAGTATCAGAAATGTGATCAATGAGTCCACAAATATGATTAACTGATGAGGCCAAATTTAAAAGTTCAGAGCACCTTGATTTCTTTTATTCGAAGGACAATTTTCAATTTGGTTTCTTTCATCAATGCAAAGTGAAAAAGAACATACTAAAGAGGTACTTCTACAACTGAATGGGATCTTCTGATTTTACTGAAGAATTTCTTTCTATTCTTACAAAAATATTTTTTACTTAAGTAGCAGTGATTAAAACTTTTTTTAATATGACAACCCAATTAAAAATAAGCACAATCTACTGAAAACTGCCTTCCCCTACTCTGAGCCCTCTGGATATGACTACAATACCTATAATTCCCAGTCACTATGGTGAAGAACATGGGAGCTGTAGTCTAATACACCTGGAGGACAAAAGGCTCAGAAAGACTGATCAAAAGTGTCTCAATAATACAGAAACTTTTCTTCACATGCTGTACAGTACTGGCGGGAAGCAGAGGGTGAGCTGACTATTTGCCAGAAAATGATGTTAAAAGGAAAATAATTCCACCCCCAACCTAAAAGGGTGGAAATCAACCGATTTGTACTAGATTTGAAATCAACCAGCCTATAACCTTATGCAAACACTGGCAGATTCCAACACCCAGTAATGCACTTCTTTAAATATTCATATTGTCCAGCCTTCCCCAATTTAATGCTCTCAAGAAGTATTTAGGGCTGCTCCATGTATTCAGTGTGGGAAGCCTGCACATATTTATTGTACTTGAAGGCTGACTTAATTTTATTTAGATTATTATAATTAAAATAAGAGAGCCAGTTTGGTTTAGTGGTTAAAGGCACTACACTAGAGCCTGGGAGACCATGAATTGTACTCCTGACTTAGAAACAGAGACCAACAGGTCATTTTGGAGCAGCCACTCTCTCAGCCTTGGAAGAAGGCAATGGCAAACCATTTCCAAAAATGTTGCCAAGAAAATGGTTGGGACTTGTCCAGGCAGTTACCAAGATTGACTCAGTATAATTGCATATACACAATTAAAATCTAGATTCTTACAATGAAAAAAATTACAAAATGGGAAGTTAGAGCATGCTGCAAAGCAAAACACCAGCATTTTTATTTCCAAAAAATGCCTCCAGGGCCTGCACAGACCCCAGAAGCATGCTTAGAAAATAAAATGATAGGTTACAACAGCCCATGCTCTTTTATGAAAGTGGAGCCACCAGCCCAGAAAAAAGTCAGAGTGCATGGGGGGGGGGGTTAAGAAATTTGCTGGTTATAACTTCATCAACTTGGCTTCTGATATATGGATCATTTGCCATACCCTCCATTGGAAGCAATTTTTGTGAATGTATCCTTAACATGTGAGAAGGGAACCCCTGCCTTATGCAAAGAGATGGGGAAACTATTAATCAAAATAATATTCTAAGATTCTTTAACAGATTTAGCACCACTCTGGCTTCCATTGACATACCTTCAAGTCTCTATAGACCACATTTTTCTCTGAATGTAGGTAGTCCAATGCTGATACAATTTCAGCTCCATAGAACCGGGCACGATCTTCAGAAAAAACACGTTCTCGTGACAGATGGAAGAATAACTGAAAATAAAAATGCTCCTTAGCTTTAGCTGGCATCTTATAGTATTTATTCTGTACTGATAATCATAGAAGAATCAGAGCTCAATTGTAGAAGACAAAATGTGCAGCAGATGTTCTGGGTTCAAGTCCCAATAATTCTGATTACAAAAGTCAAATAAGAGGTGGCAGAAAAGGTATTTTCTAACCCAAATTCCTACTGAGATCCTGTCAATCAAAGGATACAGTATTTTGCTAGAAGAATCTGGTATAACTTACCTTCCTACTAGGCTATTTTTCCTCAACTGTCATCAACAAGGATACTTGTGGTTTTCAGATTAAAACACATGCTGGCTAACTCCAAAATAGAATTATGTATAAGTAGTCTGACTTTATCTACACTGCAGAAATCAAAATTCAGCCCCAGTAAAAAAAAAAAAAAAAAAAAAAAAAAATTACATAT